GGCGCCCTGCCGGGAGTTCCGCGGTCCCAGCGCCAAGCTGCCGTGACGGTGGTTTGCCAGAGAGTGAAATTTTCATCTTCTCCACCCCCCCCACCCCCGAGTTGGGACGAGAACTTTGACGGCCCCGCATTAAAGTTTCCTTCAAATAATCTTTCGCAATCGGTGCTGCCCCTCGCAGCCCTCTGCCAGGGGCTGTCGCACCGCAGAGCGCGCCGTGTGGCACCCGAAGGCTGAGGAACGCGCGCGCCCGCGTGCAGGGTTCTTTTCCTCCGGTCTCGGTGCGAGGGCATGGCGTGTGCTGCAGAGCGTCCTCTCCGAAGTTACCGGGCGCGACTTCCCAGCGCGCCCCTGGAAGCTACAGAAGCGCTGTCGCTGAGGAGGTCCCTTCTCTCTCCCGGCTGCGAGCGGTGACCTCCTCAACAGATCTGACCAAGAGGAGCATATGCTGGTTCTGGGCCTCGGCCACTGCGTGACTTAAATTCCACTTTCGCTGGCAGTTCTGGGGAAGATGTTGGCCATCTGTTAAGTACGAATCCATACTGGAATGCAGGCAGCAGCAGTTACTCTGCTGTTGTGAGCTGACATCGCAAAACTGGTCCTTTCTTCTCGGAAGTATGTGTTCAGAGCATTCGCTCGCTTGGCTGTTGCTAGCATCGCAGCCCAAAGATAGCCAGAGGGATTTCGGCTGTGTCAGAAGCATTTTTACAGTCTGGAGGCTATAGCTGATAGCAGTGCATGATCTGTGATTTTGCAAATGCACTTAACAAAGTTAAGACAGCTTGAAGTAGAAGTCTCTTTCTAAGAAACGTCTAGCTGTACCATGCCGTGCTTCATCATGCCCGCGAATATGATGCGGCCTATCTGAGGTGCCTTCCAGGTGCATTATCGTTCGAATTTAGGCCTGCCTGCTCCTATACAAACTGTAAACTGTCAACTTTCCCTCCATAAATAGCATGTCTGTTTTTCCTCACAGACATACAGCCAAGGGATTGAATTAGCCTGCCAAAAAGAAAGAGAGTTTGTGAAGCACTCTGTAGAATGCACGTGGAACCTAGCAGAAGCCCAGCAAAAACTTGGTAACTTAGCACTGCATAATTCAGAATCGCGTGATCAGGAATCTGCTCAAGCAAAGACTGAAGCTGCAGAACTGAGATGGAGAGAGGAAGAGTGGAGAAGAAAAGAAGAAGCACTAAACCAGAGGGAAAGACAGAATCTATGGAACACAGATCCTGTTAGTAAGGAGGTATTTAATAAGGTATGACCCATATCAGTGTGCATGAAAACAAGCGGTAGCCTCTTTTTTTTTTTTTTTGTTCCATTTGTTACTAGTCTTGAGTGTCCTCTGCATGCAGTACAGCACAAAACCACAGTATGTGCTAAACGTGTTTTTTTCTTACTTTACCTCATGAAAGGGAGCAAGCTACACTTATACTACAAATCTGGATGACATTTCTCTACCACAAGTGTGGATGAGAACTTGGCATGGGTCATCTAGGTATTAGATATGAGCTGGCAGTGTGCACTTGCAGCCCAGAAGGCCAGCCTTATCCTGGGCTGCATCACAAGCAGCATGGCCAGCAGGTCAAGAGAAGGAATTCTGCCCCTCTGCTCTGCTCTGGTGAGACCCCACCTGGAGTCCTGTGTCCAGCTCTGGAGCCCTCAGCACAGGAAAGACATGGAGCTGTTGGAGCAGGTCCAAAGGAGGCCACAAAAATGAACTGAGGGATGGAGCACCTCTCCTGCAAGGACAGGCTGAGAGAGTTGCGTTTGTTCAGCCTGGTGAAGAGAAGGTGCTGGGGAGCCCTTACTGACATGATTGTGACTTTTCAATACTTAAAGGCGGCTTATAAAAAGAGATGGAGTGGTTGGGGGTTTTTTTTATGACGGCCTGTGACGGTAGGACAAGACATAATGGTTTTAAACTGAAAGAGGGTAGATTTAGATTGGATGTAAGGAAAACATTTTTTACTCTGAGGGTGGTGAGGCCCTGGCACAGGCTGCCCCCAGAAGCTGCGGGCGGC